ATAAAGCAAATCTGCAGGACCGGGCAGTTTTAGCAATGTGGTCTGAGAAATTCAGCTTATCATCAATCACAACTCCAAGGTTTCTAGCTGTTTTTGAAGGAGTTATGGTTGATGAGCCTAACTGGATGGTGAAATTTTGATAAAGTGATGGGTTTGTTGAAACCACAAGCAGTTCTGTCTTAGCCAGGTTGAGTTGAAGATGATGGTCCGTCATCCAACAAGAAATGTCTGTTAGACATGCTGAGATGCGAGCAGCTATCGTCGGATCATCAGCATGGAATGAGAGTTAGAGTTGAGTGTCATCAGCATAGCAGTGATATGAAAAGCCATGTTTCTGAATGACAGAACCTAGTGATGCCATGTAGACAGAGAAGAGAAGTGGTCCAAGAACTGAGCCCTGAGGCACCCCAGTAGTTAGATGTTGTGACTTGGACACCTCATCTCTCCAAGATACCTTGAAGGACCTATCTAATAGGTAAGACTCAAACCACTGGTGTGCGGTTCCTGAGATGCCATTTTCCAATAGGGTTGACAGGAGAATCTGGTGGTGCACCGTATCAAAAGCAGCAGACAGATCCAGCAAAATAAGTATAGAAGATTTGGAAGCCGCTCTTGCCAGTCTTAGAGCTTCAAGACTTCATTTAGCAGACACTTTTATCCAAAGCGACTTACAGTGCATTCAGGCTATACATTTTTTTACCAGTATGTGTGTTCCCTGGGAATTGAACCCACGACCTTTTGCGCTGCTAATGCAATGCTCTACCACTGAGCCACAGGAATTTATGAGTTGGGCAACGCGGTGGTGTCGCCAGTGCGACCACTCACAAAGGTTAGTCACACCGGCAGAAAATTTGGTCGCAGTCTGGAGCCCTGCCCACCACTGATGTCAATACGGTGGTCAGTATACCCAGCTCTGCGTCCTCAGCGCTCTCAAGCTCGGCGGCCTCGCCATTCTCAAGCCCGGTGATCTCAGAGTTTCTCCCACCTTCCGCTGCCCTTCCAGTAATGGCTGTCGCCATTTTGTGTGTCTAGGCCATAAACACTTCTGAGGTGGTGGAGTCTGCTACAGAACCAACTCCAGTCCATGAGTTTGCTCCAGAGCCCGCTCCAGTTCCTGAGTCAGCCCCAGAGCTCGGCTCCAGTCCAGAGCCTCAGAGCTCAGTCCTGCATTGTCTCTACTAAGTGAGTTCCCTGCCTATCCTGTTTTGATCACTAAAGTCATCCTAGAGCATCCAGCCTGTCCTGTTTTGACCACAATGGTCACCTGTGAACTCTCAGTCTGCCTTGATACGACCACAGAGATCATCTCTGAGGTTCCTGTCTGCCCTTTTGTGACCACGGAGGTCGTACCTGAGTTTCCTGTCTGCCCTGATGCAACCACGTGCTGTGTGTTTCAGTTCCACCAGATCTGCCCTGGGGGTCTCTGGTCATGTCTGCTCTGCTGTGGTGGTCATCTGCTCCACCTTGGTGGTCCTCAACTACACCTTGGTGGTCTTTGGGTCTCCTGTGGTGGTCCACACTGTTGTGGTGGTCTTCTGCTCCACCGTGGGGATCTTCAGTCCCATCTCCCAGCTGTGGTGGTCTTCAGCTCCGCCCTGGCGGTCTGTCACGATCACCAGCTGGAATACTTGTTTGTCTGTGTTTTCAAATCATTGTCGGCTCTTCCACAATGAAGTTATGAAATAAGCAAAACACTGGGAAATGTATCCTATCCAGAGAAGCTCTGATTCGTGGATGTGAACTCTTGATATCTGGCAACCGCACACATGAAAGCTCGTGTAGTAGAAGCGTGTACAGCAGTCTGCAATAATGTTTTGTCTCCTTTTTTTCAACTAAAAAAAAAAAATAACTTTACCATAATTTATTTTAATTTTTAATACATTTTAGTCTTGTCTTTTTTCGTCAACGATATTGCATGTTGATATAGTCACAGTTATCGCTTATTGACCTTATTGTCGTCTCGTCATCATCTCGTTGATGATGCTTGTCAACGAACATTTTTCATCATACTTTTCCTTAACTCAGTTGGCCCTCCAGATGCCCATCTCTCAGCCGGCCTTCCAGACGTCAGCAAGCCAGCCGGCGCTCCAGACGTTCTCAAGCCTGTCACTCACCCAAGTGATTTCAAGACAGCTAATCGTCCTGATGGTCTCTAGCCAACCAATCTGCCTGGGGTTAGAATAGATTCATCTGCTCGGATGTGGTGGACTTCAGCTCCACTGTGGGGATCGCTTGCTTGGCCAGCTCTAGCTCCACCATGGTGTTCTGTGGTGGCCTAGTGCTCTGCCATGGTGGTCACCAGCCCCACCTGATCTGCCGTGGGGACCTTCTGTCCCATCTGCACTGCTGTGATGGTTCCCAGCTCCACATGATCTGCCATGGTGTTTCCCTGCCCTGTTAAAGGGGTCTTCAATCCCCTTCTGCTCCACCCTGGTGGTCTTCAGCTCCATCGGTTGTACTGTGGTGGTCTTCTGCTCCACCATGGGGGGTCTCCAGTCCTGTTAGCTCTGCTCTGGCTTCCTGCCTGGCCAGCTCCGCTCTGGCACATCCTGTCCTGGTTTCTTCCTCCTTCCACTGCCCTGTTGGATTTATTTTGGCACAAGATCACCGCTTCTGGGAGTGGGGAGTACTGTCACAATCCTGTCACCAGCCCTGTCACCCTAGAATTACATTTCCCAGCATCCCTCCTGGTTCCCACCTGCACTCAGTCAGCCATCACCACACCTGCCACAGATTATTACCTCATCAAGACTCTCATATAAGCAGTCACTCTTCACATTTCCAATTTCCTGTTTTGTTGTTCTCTACAGTGTCTTGCACTGTGTAACTTTATCTGCTCGTTGACCCTTGTCTGTTCTTGTGACAACTTTCTTCAAAACCAAACATTTTTGTAAATGATATGATTACAGATAAAAAATAAATGTAATTTGTTTGACAGCAATTTTGCCAAAGCAAGACAATTACATGACTTTAAATGAATCTATCCCCAAAGGTTTTTGTTATAAACACAGCCTCATCTGAAAGGCAAAGAGGGAGGTGTTGCTACAATTTATAGTAATAATTTTTGAAACCAGAAATCCAGTTCCAATTCCTTTGAAGTGATGGTGCTTAATATAATGTTATCTAGTATAAACAATAATTGCCATTTGAAAGTTATACTGCCTACTGTATACAGTCCACCTGGGCACTACACAGATTTGATCAAACAATTTGCTGATCTGAATTAGTACTGTTTGCAGATAAAGTCTTAATTGTTGATGATTTTCATCAAAATAATCCTGACCTCTGCATCCTGGCCAAATTTGCCCATTGCCCTCTGACCATCATGGCTTCCTAATCATCCCCATATAATGATTGGCTTCATCACTCTCCCTGCGTTCCATTCGGAAGGGCTCATCCCTATGCCCTAATCCCCTCAAAGGGTTTACCTTCCGGAGTGAGAGCTTAGAAGGGTTGAAGGGTGTAGAGGACCAAACAACTGCTTCTTGAAGTGCCCTTCTGCGTCATCATCCCGTGCCCACACGGAGACGCCGTCACTATGGCTGCCGTTGCATCATCCAGGTGGATGCTGCACACTGGTGGTGGATGAGGAGATCCCCCCTCACAATGTAAAGCGCTTCGAGTGCTTAGAAAAGCGCTATATAAATGTAATGAATTATTATTATTATTATTAATTACATATCAATATTTGCTGAGAAAAAAAACTGTAAATGCCCCAAATAAACAAATAAAAATATTAATTATTGTCATAGACAGGGGCATTGAATAGACAACACAAAAGGTGTTTTCAAAAAGTCAGTTTTTGGCCAGATACTTGTACTTTCAATTGAGAAAAGTTTTCAATGAGTATCTAAACTTTCACTTAAGTATAATTTTTGAGTAATATTTACACCAGTTTTTTTATTTCTGTTCAAAATATTTACAAATTTGTTAACCATATTGTGATATATCTGCTATTAACTTTATAATGATCATGGTATTTAATCAGGCTACGAGTTTCCACCATGATAGTTTACGCTGCTAATAAGAAAACTGTGTCAGACTTTTTAAAACCATATCTGTATTAGGAAGACTTCTCCTCGCTGTCCTTGGGATTCTGCTTGGTCAGTTCTGGTGTGTTCTGCATTTCAAACAGCAATAGATTAACTGTGTATTTTGAATGGAAGTTTTCTCTCGCATTCTACGCAATCATGTTGTGCTTTGGTTCACTCTTTATGTTGCATGTTGGGAAACATACATTGAGACACATCCACCATGTTCTGCATTTTGGATGACGATAGCTCAACTGTGCATTTTTGAATGACAGTTTTCTCATTCATGCTCTATGCAACAACACCCTTCAGTTGACCATAACATTGTAGTTATGACAAGGTGTGCCCCATATCCACCACATTCTGTGCTTTGGGTGACAGCTGTCCAACTGTCCATTTTTACACTCACAGTAGTTTTCCTGAGTAGTGAATGAGATCCTGCATGGCTTGCCATACTCCATTTCTGTAGAAACTTTCTTCATATGAAAATCTAAATTGTTATGGCGTGCATCAGAAAAAAACAGCTGCTTTGTCTGAGCATGGGATACTCACTGCAGTTGTCTTCATCGCTGCCATCAGGGCAATCTTTGAAACCATTACACTGGAAGCGGCCAATAATGCAGTGAACCCCGTTTGCACAAGCAAAGAATGTGGGTGCACACTTTGACCACCTTCACTGTGAGGAAGCAAAAGAGGGAGAGAGAGAAACAGAAAGAAAAAAGTAAGTCGTTTGCAAACACAAAAGGAGTACATACACAATTAGATAAGTTTCAAACACAGAGAATCTGATAACACTGCTATGCTACATTCTGTTTTGCTACAAAAAGGCAAAAGATGCAACAATGAAAATACATCTAATTAAAGATAACTGAAAATACACAATCTTTCAAACTACTTTGTTGAACTATTTAACTATTTGATGAGATCCATATCAGTTTAAACTAGTAAGCATAAACAATTCATTCTCTCTCTTGAGAACAAAGAAATAAAATTCAAGCAATTGAAAGCTGCTACATTTATTCAGACAAGAGCAATGAGTTTTTGTTTTTAATTAATTTACAATAGCAAGTCTTATTAGACTACATTTACATTGCAACACTGCACATATGTATTTCAACTGACTGTTTTTTTTTTATCTATGACAAGATATGCTGTACATCAGGTGTTCCCAATCCTGTTCATGGATATCCACTTTACTTCAAAGTTCAGTTCTAACCCTGCTCCAACACACCTGTTTGTGATTATGAAGTGTTTCTGAAGATCTCATTGGTCTGAAGTACAAACACTGCTAGCAAAAGGTGCTGTATAAACGGTCCATTTTATCGAACAGCGAGTCAGGTTTTTACAGCCGCTACTTCCTTGTTCCCAAGAAAGATGGCGGGCTCAGACCAATTCTTGATTTCAGACATCTGGATCATGCTCAGATCCATGCACAAATATTCCCAGAGGACTGGTTTCTGTCTGTGGATCTGAAAGATGCATACTTTCACATCCAAATAGCCCCCCATCACAATCTGTTCTTGAGATTCGCATTCGAGGGAGTGGCCTATCAGTACACAGTGCAACCATTCGGACTGTACCTGGCCCTTTGCACTTTTACAAAGTGCACAGAGATGGATCTTTCCCCTCTGAGACAGATGGGAATCCACATCTTGAACTACCTCAACGACTGGCTGGTGCTAGCCGAATCATAACGGGTACTTATCACTCACTGGTCTTGTTGCTTAACCATTTGGAGCATTTTGGGCTGAGAATCAACAATCAAGCCAAGAGTTTTCTGTCTCCCAGACAGCGAGTGTCCTTTCTGGGAACAGCTATAGACCCAGTTCAAATGCAAGCCTGGATTACGCCGGCATGCTCCCCGAACATTCAAATAGTGGTGGCATTTTTCAAGTTGGGGACTACGCATCCCCTCAGGGTGTTTCAGAGGTTGCTCGGCCTCATGTCGGCCACCTCCTCAGTGATTCCCCTGGGCCTGGTACACATATTCCAATATTGGCTCAAAACTCATGTTCCGTCCCACACCTGTGCCACTATTATGTGAGGTTAATCCATCGCTGCATCAAAGCTGTGGCCCCTTGGAAAACTCCTCGCCTGTTTCTATCAGCCGTATGGCCGTATGCCGTTTGGAACGACCTCCAGGAGGAAAGTAGTCAAGACGGACACCTCCTGTTTGGGCTGGGGCGCTCTGTACGAGGGCAATCTGGCGTTTGGCTCCTGGTCGATCCACGAGCAATGCCTGCACATTAACTGCCTCGAAATAATGGCTGTTTGACTGGCCCTGAAAACCTTCCTGCCAGCCTTAAACGGGCACCACGTCTTGGTCCGGTCGGACAACATGACTGTTGTAGCCTATATCCATCGCCAAAGTGGCCTTAGGTCACGTTCCCTTTACAGCAGGGGTGTCAAACTCATTTTCACTGAGGGCCACTCCCCCCACCTACAATCCCTGCCGGTACGAGACTCGAACCCACAACCTTTGGGTTACGAGTCCAACTCTCTAACCATTAGGCCTTCCCTTTTAAAGTCAAGTATCTTCAAACACACGTCATTACATTAACTTTGTTAAAACCTTTTTTTGTTACATTTATTGCACAACAAATAATTGTGAGCTGCTAAGAACGTGTGACAGATATGGCATGAGTCCGGTCTCATGAAAATGCGTATCAATAGCATGATTGTCTGTTTCTATTTGGCATGCGATTTATATGCAGAAATTTACTTTGCCAAAGAGGCCTTAGGTCACGTTCCCTTTACAGCAGGGGTGTCAAACTCATTTTCACTGAGGGCCACTTCAACATTATGGCTGCCATCAAAGGGCCGATTATAACTGTAAGACTGTACAAATGTTACTAACATATTGTTAAATAACTGTTTCTTTATTTTATTATTACTTATTTAAGTTACAAAATTTGCATAGACGTATTATATGTAATTGCTCTGTTATTTTAACATAAGTGACCCATACTTGGAATTAGAAGACTGTACAAATGTTACTAACATATTGTTAAATAACTGTCTCTTTATTTTATTATACTTATTTAAGTTACAAATACTGCATGCATTTGCATAGATGTAATATATGTAATTGCTCTGTTATTTTTTAAATAAATCCTTTTAATTTATCAGGTTAAGAAATCCAAATTACTCTATAAATCAAAGTAAATAATAAAGACAAGTATCATCAAACACAAGTCATTACATTAACTTTGTTAAAAACTTTTTTTGTTACATTTATGGCACAACAAATAATTGTGAGCTGCTAAGAACGTGTGACAGATATGGCATGAGTCCGGTCTCATGAAAATGCGTATCAATAGCATGATTGTCTGTTTCTATTTGGCATGCGATTTATATGCAGAAATTTACTTTGGCGTGCATATGATACGCACGTGTTTGTAGTAGAACAAAAATAAGTGGTGGTACTCAACCCCACTCCCCGACCCAAAAATAAATAAATACAAACTAAAGTACTAAAAAAGTACTTTTTAATTTTCATAATTCGCAATGAATGTATATAGTGCCACAATAAATAGTTAAATTCATTAATAATTGTTTGCAATTCAATTCACGTTTATTTGTATAGCACTTTTCATGATACACTGTTGCGAAGCAGCTTCACAGAAATGAACATTTCTACATTACATTTAGTAGTTTACAGCATTTCACAAGTCAATCTGCGATACCAAACAGGAACACAGGGGGATGCCAAAAGACCACTAAACGAGCTACCTTGACCTGACTGATCCAGATTTACTAAACCACTACTGCGTAAACTAAAACTCCTTCAGCCAGCATCCAGTATAAAACACTCGTGCTTTTAAGCTAAATAGCTTGCTGATTTTTTTTTACTGACATCTGTACGTGAGTACTATTATCTCCGCTATCTCTGATGACATCGGCCTGTTTTATCTGCATTAGCGCTGTTTTGAACTTACTGTTTGAATGCATTCGCTTACTGGATTCTTAGACTTTCCAGGACTTTACCGGTTGATCTGATCGCAAAAAACCTGCTTCTTTTCATTTTTATAATGTATTGTTTTCGTAAAAATGTACTTATTTAAATTAGTAATTATTATTTTATTACTCTACGCTAGGGTGACCACCTGGCTATAGATGTGTTGCAGGACAGTAGATGTGATTTTACGGGACAATGCGGGACATGTGCGAAACAGATACATTTATTACTGTTATGCTATGTAAATAGGCTACTGATTTACATCGTTGGCATATATGCGCCAATTTTCTGCCGGTGGATACCCACACTCCAGGTTGCGTTTATTAAACTCGGGAGAGAAGATTTTTGAGTGCACACATGTAATGTCTGACTGATAGAGAGCGCGTCCGTTTTCTGTGAGAGTGAATGAATGGGAATCCACCTGCAAGCAGAGAGATTTGCGCTCGTGCATTTGATACGCTCTCGCATAGGCAATACGTGCTCTGGACATTTGTCATTAAAATAACTCCATAGAAACTGCCTCAAACTAACTATTAAAACGAGAAGAAAGTCGTGTCTGAAAGCTGCAATCGATTTTTTTTTTAATTTCTTAAATTAAAGGAGAAAGGCGGTGCTCGAGCACTTGATGAGGTCCGATTTATTCCTTTGAGCCTTCCACGCAGTCATCATCAACAGAAAACCCCCACACCCGTAATCCTAACCATTGCGTATCATATGCACACCAAAGTTAATTTCTGCGAATAAAAACAACGGCAAATAGAAACAGAAACTTGTGGTATTGGTACACACTTTCATAATTTATGATATAAAGCTGCATAGATTTTTATTTTAAGACAATCATATGCTCTCGCGGGCCACATAAAATGATGTGGCGGGCCGGAATAGGCCCACGGGCCTTGAGTTTGACACATGTGATATAGAGACTGTTCCCCGAATTAGCAAATACAAAAGATGTCCAAAACAATTTAAGGGTAACAATTTAATTGATGTTCAATTTGATGTTTGGCGACTGCTACAAGCTCTACTACAATGGCGAACGATCCACCCAGAATGGCATGGGAATCGCGGTCAGTGAAAAGCTGCGGGATAGCGTCGTCGAAGTCAGCCGGGTGTCCGACCGGCTTATGTCCATCAAGATCGCCTCCGGATCGACGTCGATGCAAGTTGTCTCGTGCTATGCCCCGCAAACTGGGTGCGTGACCGACGTTAAGGACGCGTTCTGGGAGAGCCTATAAGCCCATCTTCGATCAATCGACCCGGAAGAACGCCTGGTGCTTGGTGGAGACCTGAATGGACACGTCGGGTCGGAACGAGATGGATACAAGCGAGTACACGCAAGGGTATGGCGGGCAATGACGACTGCGCCGAGGCCCACGATCTTGCTGTGGCCAACACCTTCTTCACGAATAGACTGGCGCATCTAATCACCTACAGCAGCGGTGGAAGAACGACCCAGATCGATTATTGGATGCTCAGACGGCGCGACCTGAAACTGGCAACCAACGCTAAGGTGACCTCGTCAGATAACATTGGCCCACAACACCGGCTCCTTGTTATGGACATCCAATTGGACCTCGGACAGCATCGGCGAGCGTGGACGACCGGGACAGAGCGGATCAAGTGGTGGAAGCTCCCTGAAAACAAGGATCAACTAAGGGGCTCCCTCAGACTCAACGATGTGGACCTTGACCAGGTGGTGGATGCCATCTGGAG